GTTTTGGTGTTTCTTTATCGTTTCAGGATGTGTCGGGTATTTCTGAATTTGTTTGACTTACTTTGATCGATTTGAAAATTGATGAATTGAAGAAGACGATCATCCCTGACAAAAGTCGTGGGGCTATGCCCCACGAATCAAGCCCTAGTTTTGCCGAATTCGTTCGTTTAGTATTTTATTTTATTTTTCGAAAAATTTTTATTTGATTTTTGAGTCCGTAGGGTCATTTAGAGTTTAAGAGAGTTGGTCTCATATCATTCTGAATTCATTTAGTATTTTTCATAGATTTATTTTTGCTTCTGTTTGCTATGAATACAAATTAGATTGTCATCCTATTACTTGATAGAATAAATTCAGTGGCATAGAAGTATTTCCAAGGTTCAGACCCATAGAATTTGTAAGTGTTTGCTCTCACATGTAATGGGTAAAAAGGAAAAATAAAAGAAAAAACAGAGATAAGATGGTCAATTTTATTTTAATTGTAAGTGAGACCATGGAAAAATTATATGGGCCGGGAGCTTCTGATTATTTTTTCCTATTATGGTGATATTTTAATTAACTTTAGAAATTAAATACTGAAAAATTATGAGAGAAACACCTTATATCTTATATAAAATTATGAAAAAAAAAAGAGGGTGATGACGTGTGATATGAACCTTGAAAATCCTCCAGGCCCAATCATGCTATTTGGCCTACATCCCCTCAGAACTGGGGTGTGAGTTCACTTAAGTCCATTGAATGACTAATGTTTGGGTGGGTCGGGAGACTTCGGGTTCAACTGAGAAAAGGGAATATGTTGACTGGAAGAAAGGCCCAACTATGCCCATTGAGCAAAACACGATGGAAGGCTTTCATTACGAGGGTCAAGGCTATAGTGGAAGAGATCTGATTGATGTGTGAAGTTTTGTTTGAACTTTTATATGTGGAAGTTAAGTTTTTCTACATCAATAATTATAGATATAGATTATAGGGGTTTATACTTCTTATAATCTTATACAACATAAGAAGAAGAGTAGTTTCTTCATGCTACACTCATACGGTTTTGTGTGTCAATGTTTTAATTTTCTTATTTAATTTTTTTTCAGTGGGGCCTATCTGAATATATGTATACTATAAAAAATTTCTTTTTATGATATATAAAAGGGATTTGTATTTATCATTTCACATGACACAAGAAAAATTTTCTACACACACAACATTTTGTGGGACCCACACCTTTTGAAGCACAAAAAAAAAACTACGGCACGCAAAACGAACTTCTATAACATTACATAATCGCTTTTCCTACAACATAACTCTTATAAAACCCTACGTAAAATGTATAAACTCCTAAAATATGTTGGCGTTATGTTACAAAAAGTCGCCACCGCAATGTTTTCAAGTATGATTGACAAATTACCTTTTGTGGTATTGTGTTTTAGTCCATCTATTGGGTACTATCCTGCGTCTTTAGCAGTGACCCCGTATGTTTCTTTCTTGTTTTTGCAAAAGTTTCTTTAGGGTTGTTTGATGTGACGTATAAAGCCTGATAGCATAAGCTTATACTATACGTTATGACATTTTCAATTGTTTGGTGCGACCATCATATAGTATAAGCTTATACAACAGGATCCTTTTATACATCAAAATGATGTATAAGTTAATCAAGCCTAAGGAGATAGGATTAGGCCTGATAAAGGATTAATGTATTAATGTTGCTTAAAAGTACAATTTCCAAGAACTAATATATCATTTCAATATTAAAATATTAAAATATTTTTTTAATATATTAATTTTTAAAATATTGAAAGATATTATCTTATACAATACCATACCAAACGCAGGATAGTATTAAAGTTTAATCAGGTCTTATACAATCAGGTCTTATACTATCAGGCCTTATCCTATACTATATACCAAACATGCCCTTAAATAGAATTAAGAGGATTCAGTCTCTCATGTTGCATGACAAATTTTCATATTCCTGCAGACACACTTCTCCGTGGGACCCATTGCTTTTTGAAGAAACAAAAAATACAAAAAGTCTAGCCTGTTTCTCCATGGGTAAGCAGGAAAATAGTTTCCGATTCCAGTAACATAAGAATTGAATTTCCCATATATTAAACTATATTAATCAAATTATTATAGTTAAGATATATTTGAAGAGCTCGATTTCAAGTTTTTTAAAATTCTATCGTGCAGAACTTTCCAAAATAATAATAAAAATCTCATGTAGTTAAAGTAAATTTAAATTTGTAGCTTTAATTTTCTTAGATTAGTCTTATGTTTTAGCGTGACATATTAGTAAGATATTGAAGATAAGATACGTGACATCTATCTTCGTAGTACAATAATTTATGGATCACGATTCATACTAAAAGTGTTTCATAATGTATATCAACGAGGGACCAAATTTTTTTATTTATGTTTGCACACTTAATAACCAAGGTTCGGGGCTCGGTTCTCGATTTTTTTTTTCCAAAGCTCTCATCATGTATAAGATCCATGAAAGAATATACGATAGATAGCCTTATCTTATATTTACAAAAAGTTAAATATAATAATAAAAAATGTAACTTTTGGATAAATGACCGCAACACCAATCATTAAGACAAGAGAAAGTAATAATTTAGTAAATCTAAACTAAATCAACTGCAGCTTTTTTAATAGGAAAAAAAAAAAATTACTGTGTGCACTTGCCCATTGAGGCAACAGTGCACTGCCAATGATCTACCGTATTTGAATTAAGACAAAGATTGCTTATGAGAAATTAGTCATAAATGGAGTTTGTATATATTATTCTCTCTTAATTTTTTTATTTATTAAAATTAGAAGTGTCATTGTACTATTATTTGAATACATTTTTTTTTTGAATAGTATTATTTGAATACATTTTAATTTATGATAAAAAAACATGATTTCACCCACGCAAAAAAACATGATTGATACATTCGTAAAATTTGAGTTTCGACGATGTAATCGTGTAGCTACAAAATTAGTGTAATACATCACCACTGGTTAAACTTTAAGTTGACCGGTGGTGAAATTGAACTCTTGGTTTATTAAGGTGCTCAGCTAATAAGTTCACTATAAAAAATTTAAAAATATATCTTCGATCTTCACAGCATGTTCACGAATGACACTCCAATTTTTATTTTATTTTTTATAAAAAAAAACCCCTCATTATTGATTTTTCTCGTAGGTTTTCGAACCATAGAGGCATCATCTTCCAACCAGGTAGCATATTATTTTCATCTTAACAAGATAGGAAAAATGAAGAGAGACTGAAGAAAGATAATGTATATAGTAAGAGAGAATTACAAATAGACACACGCGATGACATAATACGTTAGTACGTATCATATTGCAATTAATTAAATTTATGGAAGTGACTAATTATCAAAGTTTAAAAGATAAAGGCCTAAAAAAGAAGCAAATTAAATTTCTAGAAGTTGTTAAAGATTGTTTGAAAAAAAAAATTCACTTACCACAATCAATCATTTTTATTTATCATACCTCATTATTACTGAGACTTCTTAATTTGATTTGATGTAATATATAGAAAATCCTCATTGGATTTAATTGCTTGAAAGATTAAGCTGAATTATTTTACATTTTGACTTTATTTTCATTTCTTATTCTTTCATCTCTCTCTCTCTCTCTCTCTCTCTCTCTCTCTCTCTCTAAATACATATTTAACGTGTGTTTAGTTTTAGCATTTAATAAAAACTTTAAATACTGGTAGCACTATAATTTATCTTATGTCAAACAATTAATAACAACTACCATAGCACTTTTGTTTTAAGTTCATCGAGTGCCTCTCCATAACACGACATTAATCATGCATTCTTTATCACAGTAAACATTAAAAATAATAGTTTGGAAAGGGTTTAAACTTTTCCTTTCTCGAAGTCACAGCAGAAAAGTCAGAATTCTGCATCCGGAAAGTTTAAAACATGTAGGTAAAAGCAATAACTTGAATTGATTTTATTTAATTTTTTGCTGGTAGGAAACTTCAATTGATTTTTAAATTGTATTGATCTGTCTTATTGGTTCCTAGCAGAATCGCGGGTTGACACTCTCGACAGCGAAAACATGGAATGAAGAACACATGGGATATTGTTTCCTGCCACATGGGTCCCCCCTCAGAGTCCAAACCCTATGTTATGTGTTTGAATTCTGAGGCTAAAGACAATTGAAGCCCATTGATCTGTCTTTAATACCATAAAACCTAATTGTCTTATTACCGGAAAAACAGGTCTTCTGTTGAAAATTTCCCCTAGGGAAATAAAAAGTTCTTGAACTTTTGATTAACGGTTAAGTAAGATGACATAGGCAGATACCCATTGCATTGAAGAGGACATTCCTGCCCCTATTGCCCAAAGGGTCTTTTCCTTCATCAGGAAGTCAAGTCATGGTGAAATAATAATAATAATAAAAACATGTATTTACTGCATGAAACCGTTTGACCAATACATATTATTTTCTTAAAGAAATAATTGTTTTTTTTTTAAGATCTCTTAAATAAACTAATGCATTGATGGAAAAATTTGAAATTATACAACTTCATCTCATCCCTCGTTACTAAACAAGTGAATATTATGAAGTAGAGAGGATAGTATGAAAATTGAGGAAAAGAAAAAAAGGACCACAAGCTGAGAAGGAGGGAAAAAAAAAGAGAGAGTCCAGGTCAGTAACGTATAACACGTGAGCGTCAGCAAAAGACAACGGGGCACCTTTAAAAAGGTTTTAATGAACGTAAATAAGGAAGAGAAAGAAAAAATAAATATAAAAAAATTCAATTATTTATTATTTCTCTCAACAAGATAAATAAATAATAAAAGTCCCAGTATCGGTTACATACTCAACACTTTTTTTTAGAGTCCTCAAGCGAAAGAAGTTACATTACATGCATCTCAAAGTAGAAGAAGAAGAAGAAGAAGAAGGAATGTCAGTGAAGTAGCTTAACGTAGCTGCTTCGTGCGTTTGTGTGAGAAGATCTTAGAGAGAGAGAGAGAGAGATGGGGGGTGTTACTTCTTCTATGGCTGCAAAACTGGCTTTCTTCCCGCCAAACCCACCGTCGTACAAGGTTGTGAAGGAGGAAGGCACAGGGGTGTTGGTGTTGGACCGTTTCCCACGCCGTGAGAATGTGGAAGTTGTGAAATTTCCGAGTCGGCGTGGAGCTGAGATCGTGGCCGTGTATGTGCGACACCCAATGGCGAAATCCACCGTTCTTTATTCACACGGGAATGCCGCTGATATCGGTCAGATGCACGAGCTCTTCATCGAGTTGAGTACCCGCTTGCGTGTTAATCTCTTGGGGTAAGTCAAGTTCCCTCCTTTACCCCTTTTCTTCAAATTTTTTATTTTGGTTTTTCTCTATGAACATGATACATGCATATGCATTTCTTTACTCACTGAACCAATGTTAGAGGTATAATGTGTTTGTCTGTGAGCGTGTGAATTTCGTTTGATAGAATTCTAGTGAATTAGAGGTACCCATTTGGAAAGTAGTGAGATTTTTTTTGCTGAATTTGGTTGGTGACACGATAATACACCTTTGGGGGTACAAGTTCAGTAGTATAAATTGAATCTTAGCAATTCACTTCAACACAAGCTGTTCGATTGTCTCGTTTGGCTTGGATTGAATTTCGATGGTTCTGATTTTGAGAGGGTTGGTACCATAAAAGAATTTATTAACTTCTTATTAGGCTTGATTAGTAAAAACTCCCATGAGGCTGGTCAGGTATTGTGTTCAATCTTGTCTGCTGCGTGCGGGTGGGGGAGAAGTGATGATTTCTGGTTCATCTGTGTAGATCTGCTTGTCTAATATACTGAGTGTGGCGTGTGAGTTTGAGCCATGTGTTTCCTGTGGTTCTGCCATGAATGGAAGATGGTGATTTGAAGGTGGGACTGTGCTATTCCATCATTTTTAGTATGCTCGAAATTTTACCTAAATTTGATTATTTTCAACCAAGATGGCGATTTGTTTATGAAAAGAAAGTTGGAATTTAGTTATCCGACAAGTGAACTCTGAGGATTTCCGTTAAGTTTGTTATGTTCATCTACTGGATAGGTTTCAACGCAACTAGTGTTGTGGTGAAGCGAAAAAGGGGTTGGATACACGGTTAATTTAGTTATGGCTATCTGCTGGATAGGTTTCAATGAAACCAGTGTTGTCGTGAAGCGATATGGGTTTCAATACGACCAGTGTTGTCGTGAAGCGATCAGTGGGTTAGATATGCAGTTATGTTAGTTATGGCCATCTACCTCATAGGTTTCAATGCAACCAGTGTTGTCGTGAAGCGATGAGCTGTTTGAGGCATCAAGCCCCTGAATTTAGAGTTAATTGATTCATATAACAACAAATGATCACATAGATACGATTTAAATGGAAATTAAGTCACGACAATGCAATAAAAACATAAAGTATTCCAAATAGACAATACCGGAAACATAATAAGTGCACAGCCAACCAAATGCATGTCAAGTCATGAAAGACACGACAAAATACGTCAGCAGACAGTTATCTTGGTCTCTTGACTCTCTCATGCATGTGACCGAGGTCAGTTGATTATCCTGGGGTGGAATTCTAGGTCATATTAGGTTTGGGTGACGGTATTTGACTGAAAAACACCTTTGGTATAGGTACCTTGGCTGTTGAGTGTTTTAAGTTAGGGTAAGAGTCAATTTGCCGAAATTTCATAATGCAGCTGCTTTGCCGCATCAAGAAGAAGTGGCCTCTTCGCAGATGAATCACACATCCCACCTTGCCTCAGCAACTAGGCAGCCACATCAGCCACCTCACTGCAACACTAAATGCAACACAATTTAGCCTTTATATTTCCTTTTGTTCTCGGATGGGTGTTTCCTTTTTCTTCGACAAATTTTGTTAGAAAAGGGGAATGTTATATACACAATAGTTCACACATACAAAAACTCCCATATGTTCTTACCATTAGATTTAACTCCGGATCTGTGGAGTGTCAAATTAAATCTTTTCTGTACAAATGAAATTTTAAACTTTGAGGATTAGAATATTTTTTATATTGCTCATTTCTATGATTGCTTATCATATATGAAAGTTGTGAAGTTCGTTAAAGAACACATTTGTAAGTCTTGTTGTAATGATGTTTTCAAGCACCTTAGTTTAATGTATGCAGATATGATTACTCTGGTTATGGGCAGTCATCGGGTAAGGTAACTACTCTGTACACTTCTTTCTGGTTTGTTTGATTCTTTTGATCACAGCAGGATACTTATGTGGATATCATTCAACAGCCAAGTGAGAATAATACTTATGCTGACATTGAAGCTGCATATAAGTATCTTGTAGAGAACTATGGTACTAAGCAGGAAGACATAATCCTTTATGGTCAATCTGTTGGAAGTGGTCCTACTTTAGATCTTGCTGTTCGATTGCCCGGACTAAGGGCTGTTATTCTCCACAGTGCTATACTATCAGGGTTGAGAGTCATGTACCCTGTGAAACGGACATACTGGTTTGACATTTACAAGGTCAGATACTTTGTCGTTGTCCTATATGCTTGGTGTCGTTTGATATAAGCATTATGTATATGTACCTGAACTTAGTTCTGTGTTTTTGTTTTACAGAACATTGATAAAATTCCATTGGTGAAGTGTCCAGTGCTAGTAATGCATGTAAGTACTCCAAATGTATTACATTCGATTTTCCGCTCACTACTGTTATCATGTGGATGTTATTATATTTTCTGTAGTTGTTGTAAGTTGTAACTGTTATGCAATCAATTGTTGTAATAGTTAGCACTTAGCCCTCTTTTTGATTCAAATAAGTATCTTTTTTTCCGCTGCTGACAATTGTGATAAAAATCATGATATGAATATCTGATAGATGGAGAACACCACTTTTCATAGCATGAGCTGGTTAATTTAAAAAAAGAAGTTGGAGTTTGTTGATTGAAGCAGTCTTTACTAGCATCAAGATTGAAGAGACACCAGCTCTGTTGCTGATATAAGCTTGTTAAATTATTTTCTCGCGAATATTGTGACTTCTCACGAATCGCTTTCCTGTGTTTATTTATTGAACTTAAACATCGCTTTTCTAATTTAGCATCATCCTAATACTCTCTTCACTCTTCAGGGAACAGCTGATGAGGTTGTTGATTGCTCTCATGGGAAGCAGCTGTGGGAACTTTGTCAAGAGAAATATGAACCTTTGTGGCTCAAAGGAGGCAACCACTGTAACCTGGAAACCTATCCGGAATATGTCCAACATCTCAGAAAATTCATATTAACAATAGAAAAGCCACCATCGCAAAGACTAAGTTTTAGGAAAAGCATAGATAGATTTGAAGAAGCCATAGGAAGTATTGATTGTTTTGAAGCTCCAAGGATGAGTACTGATCTGAGGGACAAACCAAGGAAAAGCACTGATAGGAAAGAAACACTGAAATTTCGTGGGTACAAATTCAATGATGTCCAAACACTAGAGAAGTCAAGGATCTCTTGTGACCAGATGGAGAGATCTCGAAGAAGCGTAGAGTACCATGATAACTCCCGGATAAGCGTTGATGTTCAGTTTGAGAGGGCAAGGAAGAGCATTGATTGGCTGGATAGAGGTTCCAGCACTTTGAAGCTCTTGAAGCATCTGTAAAATTGGCTTTGGCAATGGGTTTGGTATAGGGAGGGGAGAAGAATACAAAGATACAAAGTTACTTTACATTGGGGGGGTTTAACTTATCTTTCACAGAATGCTAATGTTGCTGTCGCAGTTTCATTGCGTCGTTCATGTAGAGATTTAGATATGTTGGGATTTCAATAGAAATAACTCTAACCTTGTTTTAGTCTTAAGATAGAAAATGAAGCAAGTGACTATATAGCCTAAAGGTGGCGATTTATTATGATATGTAAAATTTCACATAAATCTTTCTTCCATTTTTGTATCCCAACTCTTCTATCTCGTTAGTTTCTAAATTAGATTTTCTCTTGGTATTGCTCGTAACTTGTCCACATTGTTACAATTTAGTTTAATTTTGCCAATGCAGCAAATTTGGTACTTTGTTATCTTAAATTTTGCCTGCTGTGTGTGCACGCAAAATTCCTTAAGTTTTGCCATTATCTGGGACATTTGGTAGAGGAGAATTTTTTTATCCGGGAATCTCAATTTTCAGAAATATGATTTTTACATTTAGTTTACGATAATATTTGAAAATTAAAAATTTAAAAAAATTTAGTTTCTCGAAAATTCTAGAGAATATCGCGTACCAAATGCCAGGGCAAGCTTGAAATTGAAATCGAGCCTTTTTTTTTTTTTTTTATCTGAAACCCTCAAATATGTGTAAATCACTTTAAGTCTTGATCAATTCGAGACGGATGACATCGACTCACCTAAAATAGCAAAACTCTTCCAACTCTTTCAAGACCTATTTTACTTAAAAGGAATTAAACTATTTTTTTTTTTTTTTTTTTAGTATTTAACATGGAGGAAAGGAATTAAACTCTTTACCACTTAACAAACATTGATGAATTCAAGTCCTTTGCGCTGACATGGTATAGGATCATAAAAAAATAATTTTAATTTTCATGAACTTCAAATAAGTAAAAATTTTTTACTGAATAATTAAAACTTTGTCCAGGGGAATGTTCCGTTTACAAATTACATTAATGTAATTTGTAAAAATTTATAAACAAAAAATTTGTAAATATAACATTTCCCCTGTACCTATATTTAAAAAAAAAAAACTACTTTAATGATCGAATTATTGGTTAATTAATTTTCAAAACTTTGCGTAAAACTGATGACCTTAGGCCCACATGTAAAACGAAAAATTTCTGAAGCCATTGGCATAGTGCTAGTGTTGTGGGCCTGACCCCTAAAATTTTCATGGTTGTCTCTGGCGTATGAAACATATTCCCAGGTCTCTCTACACACCATCTTAAATTATTATTATTATTAAGAACCCTATTGCATAATTTGTTCTATCTTTGCGGATCTTAAATTGTAAATTCTGTTGTATAGTATTTTCTTTTTGGTTTTTATTTTCCAGGAAAACGATCAGAAACAGTTGATTTGATAATTTGTTGGTTGGATTGTTTTTCCAAGTAATGGCGAAAGCTTCCAAGTCGCAAGAAGAAATTGCGAATGAAGCCATCAATCATGCTTTGAAGGCTCTGCGAAAGCGCCATTTGCTCGAAGAAGCTGCTCATGCTCCCGCTTTTGACGCTCTTTCTAGACCTATCGCTTCCCAGGTCCCTTCTCTGTTAATACCATTAACAATTTTTTAGGGATTATTCTAATTTTATCACAATTTTATAAATTTGTTCAATCGTTGGTTCCAATAGAATAGTGCTTGTGAACAATTCTACGAATCTTCAACTCTGCAAAGTTATTGGCTTTTGATAATGGGTGCAGACAAACATTTAGAAATATCAGTATTTGTGAATGCTGCTTGACATGGGTGTTCATAGTCCGTGTCTAATGATTGGAATGCTTTTATTGAGTTAAATATTGTATGTATGTCCTTGAAGGGCTCTGAGTGGAAAGAGAAAGCAGAGAATCTGCAAGTGGAACTTCAGCAATGCTACAAAGCTCAATCTAGATTGTCTGAGCAACTTGTTGTGGAAGTAGCTGAGGCTAGAGCTTCTAAAGCTTTGGTTCAAGAGAAGGAAAGTGCAATCGCTGATATGCTAAAGGAGTTGACTGAAGTGAGGTTGCTTAATATTTCTTCTGTGTCTTAACAGCCATTAACACTTTTGTTTTCTAAAGTTTGTGGCAAATGATTGCAACTTAAATTAACGTTGCAGGGATGAGTGCTCTCAGTTAAAGATGGACTTGGAACAAAAGATTAAATCTTTAGAACTGGTTGTGAGTGAGAATTCAGAAATTAAAGCACAACTGGAGCAGATGACTGCTAAAGCCATGAAAGCTGAAGCTGAAAATAAGATGTTGATTGACCGCTGGATGTTAGAAAAGATGAAGGATGCTGATCGCCTAAATGAGGTCTATTATCTTCTCATTCACCATTTGAACTTTTGGAATTAGATATTTAGTATAGGTACACATTCTCTGTGAAAATGAATTTGGCTTTGGACAACAAAACAATATGGATACTCTTAAGAGTATATAAGCCTCTTGGGCTAATTGTATTATTAGAACTAAGTTCAGCTGCTGCTAACCTGCTTTTGATGCAGCCTTGCAAGATTTGTGGTAAATGTTATTTACCTGACTCAACAATATTACACCAATATTGCATGTATTTCTCAACTTATTTATCGATATTTTAAAATTTGAACCTTGTTGGTTAGTAATGTTATATTTAAATGTCAAATTGCATGACAGAATTGAACGTTGCGATAGTTACATCAGTAGTTTAAGTTTCTTACATGTAGAATACTTACAAAACTGCGATGCTACTAATTCTGGTTGCTTAGAATTCTAAATACTTCCTTATGCCACTGATTTTACTAATAATTTAGTTCCCATCACTTTAGGCAAATGCACTGTATGAGGATATGGTTGCACGGCTAAAGGCTAGTGGTTTGGAACAACTTGCAAGGCAACAGGTGGATGGTATAGTTCGCAGAAGTGAAGAAGGTGCTGAATTCTTTTTAGAATCAAACATCCCTTCCACATGCAAATACAGGTTAAATGCACATGAAGGTGGTTGTGCTTCCATGTTGTTTGAGTACAATTCTAGTAAACTGATTACTGGGGGACAGGATCGGTCAGTTAAAGTGTGGGACACAAATACAGGATCTTTAAGTTCCACTCTTTCTGGCTGCCTTGGCTCAGTATTGGATCTCACAATCAGCCATGATAATCGATCTGTCATTGCTGCAAGCAGCTCAAACAATTTGTATGTGTGGGATCTCAACTCAAGCCGGATCCGTCATACCCTTACTGGCCACACAGATAAAGTTTGTGCTGTTGATGTCAGCAAGATTTCAAGTCGTCATGTTGTCAGTGCAGCTTATGATCGTACCATAAAAGTTTGGGACTTGGTGAAAGGTTACTGCACAAACACAATAATTTTTCACAGCAACTGCAATGCTCTTTCGTTCAGCATGGATGGACAGACCATATTTTCTGGACATGTTGATGGTAATCTTCGGTTATGGGACATTCAGACTGGGAAGCTACTTAGCGAGGTTGCAGCACATTCACTTGCTGTCACATCAGTATCCCTTTCTCGAAATGGAAATGTTGTATTGACCAGTGGAAGGGACAATTTGCACAATTTGTTTGATGTGCGATCTCTGGAAGTTTGTGGCACATTAAAAGCCACAGGAAACAGAGTGGCTTCTAATTGGAGTCGCTCCTGTATTAGTCCAGACGACAATCACGTTGCTGCTGGCTCTGCTGATGGATCTATCTATATTTGGTCAATATCTAAAGGTGATATAGTCAGTACATTGAAGGAACACACTTCTTCTGTTCTGTGTTGTAGGTGGAGTGGGACTGGAAAACCCCTAGCTTCAGCTGACAAGAATGGGATTGTTTGCATCTGGACATAATGGGCTTTTTATATGCAAGGGGATGTGGTAATACTCAATTGTACAGTTTTCAGAATGGCTGGCTGAATTTTTTGTTAAAACATTTTTATGTTCATACAGGGTATACCATTCAAATCAGGGAAAGATGTATATATTAATTTTTAACAGATTTTCATTTGAATTACTTCCTCTCTATATCTCAAGTGAAGAATGAATAACTCTTTGTGATGAAGCTCTTCCGTTAGTGATGTTGATCTGGCAAATTTTATTGAAATATGTCAGCCAATTAAATGATTAATAGATTACCAGGTCCTCTAACCTGTTATTATGAGTTGTCACATTTCTAATGAGTAACGTTACCTACATATTGTGCTTTGGTTTAAACTTTCATATTGAACACTATCTGTAACATGGGAAGGGGTATGGAAACTACTCAAACTAGTACTCACCAAAATATCTAGTTGGATGGTTAATTCATGAAGTGATTTATTTCATTTTTCATGAAGGGATGATTGGATGTAATGGAGAAACAGACGAAAATGGATTAGATTTCATTTTTAATGTTTTATTCTTCTTTGGATTATTGAACAATTACTGTAATAGAGATGGAGGAAAAAAAAAAAAAGAACTCTTTGGAGGCAATTAAGGCACACGACCGATCTCTCATCATTTCATAAAATAGAGGATCACAGAATTGACCATAATCGGTAAACATGTCCTACTTAATTGGACCTAAAGACAATATAATGCTTCATTAGGAATTTAGTATATGGTTTTTCAATTGAATAAATGATTGGTGATTTGGTGATGCCCCACGGATTACGCTAGTGTATCTCTTTACTACAAGCAACTAGCAGCGCGTCACACTGGAGTCAAATGATAATTGATAATCACGGATTACTTTGTACGGAAAATTGCTCAAGAATCATGCTAAAAAAGATTATAATAAGATAGGTGTTTGCATTTGTCATTTAACATGACACAACAAAATTTTCTACACACACAACATTTTGTGGAGCCCACACTTTTTGAAAAAAAAAAAAAAAACTACGGCACGCAAAACAAATCTCTATAACATTACACAATCACTTTTCCTACAACATAACTCTTATAAAACCTAATAAGATAATTCTTGATAATACTAAAATTACCATAATAAGATAGTACTAAAGTTATCTTAGAAGGATTTTAATAAAGCATTAAATTCCCTCATGTTATGAAAGTTAAATAGCTAGAATGCTACTATTATAGACAAGGTCTCAAGAAAATTAAGTAACTAATAAAAACGAGTACATGCCTTTTTAGAGGAAATAACTAAATTTTGTTTGCATTCTACCCGGGACATTTATTTATAATATTCCGTGATAGATGCACACTACTAAAAAAAACTCTATTATCGACGGAATTTATCAACGAAAAATATTCCGTCAAAAATAATAATGGATTTTTTGACGAAAATTCAATTCCGTTGGAAATAGAGACGGAAAAAATTTCCGTTGAATTTTGAGACGGAAATTTCCAACGAAAAATAAATTCCGTCAAAATTTTTAACGGAAATTAAATTCCGTTGAAATTTTCTGTCAAAATTTTATCACATAATTATTTTTAATCGAAAAATAGCGACGGACAACAAATTCTGTTGATAATTACAACAGAATAATATTCCGTTTAAAATTTCACCGGAAATTTTTCGTTGAAAATTGCAACGGCATAGTTTTCCGTTGACAATTGCAACGAAATTTTGGTCCGTTGAAACTTTCAACGGAATTTTGGTCTTTTTCCGTCGAAAATTTCAACAGAGTTTTTTTCCGTTGATAATTTTCAAGTCATCACAACCATTATCAAAAACCCTAAATTTTTTTTAGGCAAGTATGCTGTCATTTATAATTGTTTATGGTGTTGTGCATATATATTGAAACATTTACATGAGAATGCAAGTAGTGACTATCCATGTCTGGAAGTGTTGAAGAAGTGGGTGAAGTTATAAATATACTAAAATGATGCTCGGATGTACTCACATGATAAAGGATGTGAAACTACGTAAACATTTTGCTAACAAATCTCTGTAATCTTTATTATACTCAGATCAATATCATATATGTTGATAATTGCATATCACTCATGTTGTGTTTGTTTTCGTTGATTGCATTTTTTATATTGTTTAAGTTTACTATTGATGGCTTCCAACAGGTCTGCGCTTAGGAGGTTTTGTCCCTCATCTTGCAATGGCGTGTGTACCATTTATACGATTAATTCTTTCAAGGCATATTTCAATAAAGATTAAAGAGATTTGTTAGCAACATATTTACGTATTTTCATATCCATTATCATTTGAGTACATCTTAGTATCATTTTTGTATACTTCACTCACTACTTCAACACTTGTAGTTGTGGATAGTCATGACTACTTGCATTCTCATGTGAATGTTTCAATATGTATGCACAATACCATAAACAATTATGAATGATAGCATTCTTGCACAAAAGAAATTTATGGCTTTTCATAATGCTTGTGATTACTTGAAGAGCAAAATGAAGGAGTAAAATTCAGTCAAAATTACTTTATGAAAAAAAAAGTCCATTGAAATTTTCAACGGAAAATAATTCCGTTGAAATTTTTGACGGAAAAAGTCCAAAATTCCGTTGGAATTTTCCACGAAAAATTATTCCGTTACAATTTTCGACGGAAAAAGTCCAAAAATTCCGTTGGAATTTTCAACAGAAAATTATTCCGTTGCAATTTTAAACGGAAATAATTCCGTTGAAATTTTCGACGGAAAAGGTTCAAAATTCCGTTAAAATTTTCAACGGAAAATTATTTCGGTGCAATTTTTGACGGAAAAAGTCCAAAATTTCGCTGGAATTTTCAACGAAAAATTATTCCGTTGCAATTTTCAACGGAAATAATTCCGTTGTAATTTTTTACGGAAAAAATTCCGTTGCAATATTCGATGAAAAAAACCAAAAGCCTTTGAAATTTTCAACACTAATAAGTTATTGTCTGTCACGAGTCATTTAGGAATACACTTTACAAAACTGTCATAAATTCGTAATTTTTTTATTTAAAAAACAATAAATTAATTTTTTTCCACTTAATCATCAAAAGAAGTTCGGAGCTTTCTTATTCAAATTTAATCTAAAAAACCATAGTAAATAGTAACGTATAAAGGGAATTCTATACATTAGAAATATATTTTGCATAAAAATATTTTATTACCTAATTGCAATTATCTCTATACACTTTCTAACTTTATATATTTTATTATCTAATTGCAATTTAATTTATATATTTTTAATTAATGATAATATAAATAAACAAAAGAAAATCACTTTTGGGCTTAGGCCCATTTCCTTGACGGGTTCGGGTGACCCGAACTTTCCTCTTCTAAACTCCCAATTACTCTAAAACCCTAGACTCACCAGTAGAAGAAGAAGCCGTTATTATTCTTCTTCTTATTATCATTATGAGCATTGACAACCTCGTATGCACGGACACGTGTCCGACACGTGGTCAACATTTGGGGACACGCGGTCAACTCTCCGACACGTTCCGACACGCGGTCAATATTTGGGGACACGCAGTCAACATTTGGGGACACGAAAAATTATTTATATTTATATTTATGTTCTGAAATTTAAATATTTGATTGGTTATATGACTTATTATGGACTCTTATATGTATTAAATATAAAAACGTGTCCCAACGTGTCGAAATATCACATTTTTTAGAATTAACGTGTCGGTGTGTCGTGTCGTGTGTCCGTGTCCGTGCATTATAGTTGACAACATAGAATATGCACAATGTAGAGCAACAAATTATTAACTACAAAGTACATATGGCACATCATAAAGTGTAGATAATGAGCAATATAAAAAATGGTTACCATATTAATTTATAATTAAGAAGTCTAGATAACCTTGCAAAAACACTTTACACTCCTATCCTGACTTTTTTCATAAATATCCTAGATTTTTCACAGCTTTCTATTGTCCAACTCTTAAATAGTTACTATTAGCCTTTATTTCATAAGTTATAGACAGTAGTTTGTAATTTCATTAGCAAAAACTTAAAAATGTATTTGAAGCTCTTTTCATGGAATAATTCAAGTTTTTTTTTAAAGTCCATATTTATACGAGTATCTTTTCAGTTGATTATGTATTGTAATTAAATTATCCTAATAATACTTTATCAAGAAAACGGTATTGGTGATGTAAAATAAAGGGGACCAGTTTTTTATTATAACTTTGTATTAATACTTCACATAACTAGAGGGGAAGTGTCTCACAATTCAGAAGTAGAATTGACTGCAATTTTATACATTTTTTTTTTTGAAATTATTTTATACATTTTCTTTGCGCATAGTACAACACTTCTTTCACAAACGATCACGTGGCTATGGTAAAAGCAGTTATCAATATCATAGCGTTGCATGTACTCCACTTTCTCTTCTACCATCATTCTCGTTAAGGTAATAGCGTGTTCCGCATGCAATCGAAACATAATCTTTCAAGAACATAATAGCAATTTGACACAAAGCTTTAGATTAGGAACCTATTTTGCCAATTTTTTTCCCAATAAGAAAATTCTCACAAGTTTCCATCTATTATCTGTAATTTTAGAGATATACAACAAAATGAATCTCCCTTAGTGTTGAGATGGAGGTCATTTATTGTGGGCCTGGACTTCATAGTCCTTGACTAAAAGTGAAAAGAAAAAAAAAGAGTGAGATAGAATTTAAATAAAGAGAGGAATTTAAATATAATTTTTTTGCCCTTTTTTGGAAAAGATGCACCCAAAGCACTGTGGATCGGGTCTATATTAAAAAAATCCATTGAGATTATGCATGATACAGTGATACATGCAGCATAGCCATAGCTAGTCACCTACCACTGCTATTTATTTCCACATCCTCTATATTTAGTTAGTTAATTATTTTATTCATGTACGTTCCAACTGTTGAACTGTTTTAGTTCCATAGCCGCTAGCTTTCTGTTATTGTAGTTTTATTTTTCCCTCCTCATGTACATATTGTATTTTCCCTTTTATGTAAGTATCAGATAAAGTGAAGGGTTCATTCCTACGAGAAACACTTTAGAGCCAATAATAAAAACTGTTACACTCCAAGTTATGAAAGAACTAGTCTCGTCCTATGGATAGGACACTCTGAGTTTATTCAAAAAAAAAAATATATATATCAGATTTTCTCTCTGAATAACACAGTTAACCATTTTTCAAGTTTACATGTGGATTGTGATAATGAAATACTTGCT